CCATTTTACATTGTTGTGATAGTAAATGAATTATATTCTTCAGTCTCTAAAATTCTTTTTACAGTCTAAACCAATCCCAACAAATTAATAACTTGCTATTTTAAATATGGATACTGTATCAACAGGGAGAAACAAAATACACTGTGAAGTCTGGGGTGTGCAAAGCCTTTTCCCAGAAGCTGTCCATTTCAAATTAGTGGCCCGAGAAATGCATTGTGAATCAAAGATAGAGGCACATGGTGTATATTTTATTTTAATTGCTTTAAAAATTTAGCATCACACCATAGCCTCCACAGTACACAAAGGCTAGGGAATAGTTGATCAAGTATGACTCATGACAAACTGCTGGAGGTGAACAGGATATTGTGAGGTCACCAGTCCTATGCCTTTGGCTGAAATATTAAGTTCACTATTTCATGAATAGTTTCTTTTCATTAGAAGTGGCACAAGGAAATGGCACAAAGATTGTACTACAGTGACTCAGACAATTGTGGCCGTGCATAATGATTAGGACCTACTGAAAATTAAATAAAAATTGCTTTATGCATTGAAGTCTTTTTCCAGACACATGTTCAAGTGTCTTTCCCTTTGATGTCTGTTGGCAGAAATAGATTATATGTTCCTACAAAGGAACTCTGTGACCTACTAAGGTCTCCTGTGCAGTGGGGGAACCCAATATGGCCTGGATCAACTTTTGATTCATCTGCATTTTAGTCCTGGTAACAGGAAGAAAGCGATATTTTTCTAGAGCCTGCAGTATGAGAGTGGCATATCTATGACTAGCAATTTAATAAAATGTGAATAAGGTTTGTACAGTGTTTCATGTCTTTGAATTTTCTAGCGAAGTCGAAGAGAGCAGCTGCACGGTCTGTAATTATATAGCAAGTAATAAGGACTTTTTTTTTTTAAGGAAGTGAAGAGATTTTCAATTACAAGTCAAAATTTATGGCACACTGTAATAACTGTTTAAACCTTTTATACAGAAGCTAGCAGTGCAAGCTCTCCGAGAGAGTGAGGTTAGCTCAGCAAATGTATTTTTCAGTTGCCTTAAAAATGACTGAGTAGCAATCACATAGGCCTTCTTTTTGCATTTCAGACCAGAACAGCTGTTTTAGCACAGTAAATACATCTTTAATGAAATTACAGCCTGCTCTTTTAAGTTGCATTTACACTGCACTATCTGATTAGATGGATATTGTACTAGAGATGAAAAGTGGCAACTGCACCGGCAGGAAGAGGTATTTGTTTTATGTGTCACCAGTGCAACAGGAGTGTAGGCATAAAAACCAAGAGTGATTCTTCAGAATGAAAATGGTGTATAGTTTACACAAGGTATATTGCTAAGTGTTAAGAGATTAAAGGTTATTAAATGAAACAGAGCAGCAACACACAGCAGTGACAACCATAAACAGCAGAGTAAGCTTTCTAATTTGCTGAAGGTTAGGAATATTAATTAAAAATTATTTGG